CTCAGTGTATTTAGAATTGGAGAAAAGAAAGGCAGTAAAGCCATCATTTTCTATTGTATGCCCAGCTGATCTGTACTATTTCCTGTTGGCATTTTTTTTCTTGGAATGGCTGATTGAAAACAATACCAATAAGTTCTTTGTCACTTTCAAAAGCAATTGAGAATGCCACAGAGTTCCTCACAGGTTTTTCACTACAGCAGATTAAACACAGATAATTCCTTTGGAATTTGAGTGTGTATAATGACAGTGATGGGTATTTACCTGTCATGCAACTCACAGTTAAAGTTATCAGGTTAGTGAATGGAGAAAATGGCAGTGCTAGCAGAATCCTGTTATGACCAATAACTATGTATGGATGTGAAAGCTGGACAGTGAAAAAAGCTGAAAGGAAAAAATGATTTATTTGAAATGTGCTGTTCAAAGAGAGCTTTATGGACATTATGGACTGCCAGAGACTTATGGTACTTTGAGCACATAATGAGAAGATGAGGCTTACTGGAAAAGACAAAAATGCTGGAAAGAGTTGAAGTTAACAGGAAAAGAGAAAGACCAAATAAAAAACTGGTTCACTAAAGGAATCCATGCTACTAATATTGGAACCTTTTGGAGGTTACTGATTCACAGGTTGCCATAAGACATACACAACTTGACAGCACATAGCAAAAACAGAACTTTGTGGACATCCAGAGACAGTCTGATAGTATTCATCCTGGCTGTGTAGTCTTATAATGACTGGCACCTGGTGAAAAAAAAAGGACTTCTTCAATTACAGTTCCCACAATCCATAGTCAATAGCACTCAATAACTTTCAGAACCGTTTGTCTTGCCATGTGCAAATAGACAAATAAAACATATGACATTACAAGACCATCCTATTATGTACCTGGATTGAATGATCTCAGTCACCTTCTGTTTACATTATGGACATGGACATTATCTTGACTCTCAGTTGTCTCTATCCAGTAAACAAGACAATCCAAACAAACCAACAAACCTCAAAGCAAACCCCCAAACCAGTCTTCCTCATCATAGGACAACATAGGATGAAGATGGTAATGATAATTTGAGTCAGCCTGAGAGAGATTTTACACATAGTAAGACTGTTATTTGCACAACTGTTGCTTTGCTGTATGGACTAGTAAAACCAGTAGGATGGGCAGGGTCATTTATGTCTTTTTGATAAATCAGTTTGTGCTTTTCTGTCTCCAATATGTATGTTTAGTTTCACAAACATAAACATCACTAGTTTTTACACCCAGGCAGTTCTGTACCAAGTATGTTTTGGGCAAATTGTGGAAACTACAACAACAACAACAAAAGAAAAGGCATCTAGATTGTGTGTTGGGTCAAGCTGTCAAGGGAGTTGGGAAATCCTTGACAAGTCACGTAATTCGTCCAAGAAGAACAATCTCACCTAGAATGTTGAGATTTCTTCACATTCCTAATCCTTAGGTAGAGAACTGCAGGAACTGACTCCCCCTCCCTTTGCTGGTCCTTTTGGGTACATTTCCAAGAAGGACAATGTTCCCCTAAAGATCAAAATTTAAAAGTAAGACAGAAGGATTAGCTGTCCCAAAATAAAGTCTGGAAGGGAAGAAGCCATAGTCTCATATGAACTTAGTGGGGAGGGGCCACTGCTCAGCAGTGGAATACATACTTTGCATGTGGAGAGCCCACTCCCACCCCCAGCATCTCCAGACAGTACTAGGATCGAGTCTGCCTCAAACCCTGGAGAAGGGCTGCCAATTGGTGCAGACAATAATGTGACAGATGGACAAGGCAAGTCTTTTCAACAATGTTACAAGATAATGCACATCATATTCATGCCACAATGGACCACAGTCAATTTGCAACAAGCATAAAAGCTTTCTTCTTTTTCTTCAGCAGGCCTTTTCAAAAGCAATCAGAATGAGCACTGAACTAAAAGAATTTCTGCATCCAATACAGAACTGAAATAGTGGCTTCTTCTTGAAAGTCTCTGTGATCTACTACAACAAACCTAATAATACTTTTACAGTACTCCATATCACATCACATTCATTTCCCATCCATTCAGTATAAGGCATAAGAAGCTGAGATTCAATTTAGAAGCTTTCTATACTTACTGCTCTTGATAAATCCAGTAGAAAACAACCTTAAATTTATAACGGTTGACACTGATTTCAAGAGGATAGAGTTTGTTTTTCTTTAAAGGAGATGTGCTTTTTAGAAAAGTCTGTTCAGTTTAGTCCCCTTGACATTTAGTCCAGTTGTGTCCGACTCTAGGGTGCAGTGCTCATCCCCGTCTCCAAGCCGTAGAACCAGCATTTGTCCAAAGACAGTTTCCATGGTCACGTGGCCAGCGTGACTAGACACGGAACGCCGTTACCTTCCCACCGAGGTGGTACCTATTTATCTACTAACATTTAAATGCTTTCGAACTGCTAGGTTGGCAGGAGCTGGGACAAACGATGGGAGCTCACTCCGTCGCGTGGATTCGCTCTTACGACTGCTGGTCTTCTGACCTTGCAGCACAGACGGTTAACCCGCAGCGCCACCACGTCCCTTTCAGTTTAGGAATATGCAAAAAGATAAAGTTCCCTTATACTATAATATTTTGATGTCTTGGTGGCCTAATTACAGATAGTTAAGACTTCCATAATGTTAAATCAGTAAGTTACTTGTAAAGCAAAACTCAAAGGTTTGCTTAAACTCTTCTAGCCAATAAATGAGAATATATTATCTATGATAAAGGTTATTTAAAGACAACTCTCTGTATATTTAAAATTCTACTGAATCTGACCTATAGACTCAGTAGAACATAGAACTGATTAAAAAGTCAGTATCATGGTAATCTTACACGAACTATAATATGCACAAATTAGTTATCACACTAAGTATAATTTTATTCTATAAAATTATTATTAGTTTGCCTCTCCTCTCCATAAACGTAATCAGAGTATGAAACAATATAAATTTTAAAAACTACTTCAACTACTTTTCTTCTACTAAAAGGAGAATGGGCTAACCTCTCAATACATTTTAACTAACTGTCCAAATAGACTGAGTATGTACGCAATATCGCTGATACTGATCAAAATCCGTCTTTCAAACAATTGTTTTTCATACCAGAATATAATGGGCACACCTTCTTCATAGGGAAAAAGCACCACAGAACAAAACCAATGCTTTCTAACAGTCAGTCCCAACAGGTAATAAATAGGAACATAACCTTTCACTTTAAATTTTCGGACTACAATTATCATCATCTTTCAGCTCACAGTTTCTAACACAATTTAGAATTGCCATCTTGAACTGAAAACACATACGTCAACTTCCTTTGAAAGTATAAAAAAAGAAATTGAAGTTCATAAGTGGCCTTGAATTGTCCTCTTTGAAATGCTGATCCATATAAGCTACATTTTTTCTTGGTAGAAGACAAACAATGCACAAACACAATTTTTTTCACAGATTCCCTTCAACAACACAACTATTTCCTGGTTACAGAGCTTTATGTGATCCACCTTCAATATTCCACCCAGTTGATATCCCGTCACCAACCTCTTCATGTTAGAAACCTATCAGATCTGGTGCCCTCGGTCCATAATCAGCACCACCATTTCATTTTAAAACGGCCCCCTTTTCTCTTCCTCTCCCTTTCCTCTTCTCCCTTCCCCGAGGGCAAGGTGGAATGTAGGGCTTTCTTGTCAGAGCACATGTGAATGGCAAATACATAGACTCAGGAGGAAGATTCAGTGCAAAAAATCTATTATATCCTATCTTTAGACCCAGCCCACTGCAAGGTGCTGGCCCTTTCCCCTCATCATTGCTGTGATCTGAAGTCACCACACAAAGTCACAAGAAGCCAGTCCCATTTGCTGATTCTGAGAAAGGCAGAGCAATACAACCCTGGGAGGCCCATGTTCTGTAAAGATTTCCTGTCTTTTCTACCTTGCACATGTTTGGGGAGCGAAGGCAAAATGAGAGGCAACTGTATATAGTTTATCTAATATGTGTATATGTACACATACATGCACACACACACACCAGTCCTAGGATCATGATGTCCTTCAGCAGGTTCAAGGAAAGTTTTACACCTTTAACACTACTTGATTTGTTTTAAATGTTAACGTTTATTTCAAAGGGGCTTTTCAGTACACAATAACTTGGTTTTTTAAAAAATATAAACATTAGTAAAGAATAGAAATTCAGACATTTCTATTCTTTATTAATCCCTTGTATGCTATGTGTTAAAGAAGAGGAATTTAAAAAACTTTATCAGGGAGTGAAAGCCTCAAGTAATTAGGATTTCCCGTTTGATTATATATAAACAAAGCAAACTACTGAAAAACACAGAAACTTTCAGATGAAATCATTTTGTCTCACTAGACAAGGGAAAAATCCACATATGCTGCTTTTTTTTATATACCCATTTACAATATGGTGATTCTCCAGTTAATGAAACCGATTCCCCACCAGCATAAAATGGCTTGAAATAAAGTTTTCTGAACTCCATCTTCTACATCTTTTTTTCCTGTCCCACAACACATACACAGAAGTGCCAGGAGAACGGAGAAGATGGCCGTTTCTGATCCAATATAAAAGCTCTTTTGTTGCATTCACACAAAAAAGCCAAGAATCGCTTTTCATCTCTAGGCCCTGAAGGAAATGGAAGGCAACGGTACCCTTGTTCTACAGCGCAAGCAGCAGCAGCAGAAAAGCTCTCCCGTAAGATTGGAAAAGGGAGACTGCGAGTTCAAAACCAGCAATAAAAAAAACAAAAATGAAAAGATTGTTTAAAAAGAAAAAGACTGGAGGAAGCAAGGTGGACTCCAGCAGTTCTCCTGCAGGTGCTATTCAGTCCTTTTTTTTCTGCCTTGTATAAAGGAGGAAATGTAATCCCAGTAGGTCCACCACTGAGATTGTTTTTGTTTCTTTAAAAAAAAAGGGAAAGAAAACACAACCAACCAGTTGATCCGTTCAGGAGCAGCAAAAGTAGCAAGCTGGCTGTGATCACTTACTTGTCCGTCTCTTGTGACATGTTTGATCCAATGAACTCTCTCCCCTTTTCCAGGTACCTCAGTCTCTCTGGTGAAACTGGACTTTCAGGTCTGTGCAGGTAAAGGTGTGTGTATGTGTGTGTGTGTGTATGTGTATGAGTGAGTGAGAGCGAGCGCCCGGGACAGCAGAACCAGAGCGACTGGTAATTCTGCTTTTCTTCCCCCCCTCTACTTCTCCCTCAGCCAGCCGCAAAGGTAGGAGTGGGACAGGTAAAGCCCCCTTTCTCCCCGCCCCTCGCATGTGGAGAGAAGACTGGCTGGGCGCGGAGCTCGCCGTAGTTCTTCGCCCTCCCCCTGCTGTTTAGGGCACCGAGCAGGGAAACGGCAACAAAAACCTAAAGGCGTCTACAGGTAACTTTCCCAAGAGGAGTTGGATTCTTTCACTGAAAGGATACGAGGCAAGAGGGACGAGCTGCGAGCTGATTGGGCAGAGCGGGCCCTCAGGTGAGCAGCCATTGGAAGAGGCGCGCTCAGGTAAGGCCCTGGCTCAGAACTTCGAACAAACTCACCTCTTGGCAGAGGTCGGAACTGGGCCGGTGGAAGGAGAGCGCTGTTAAGGGCGGGGGACCGGAGAGCGAGAACACCTGGATGGGGGAGCTGTAACCGGGGCAGGCGAGGCCTGCGTGGCCGAGGAAGCCGAAGGCGGCCCGGCGGGCTGAGGACGCGCCTTAGGGGGAAAGCTGTGCTCGCTCGAGGGGGGTAGAAAAGTGGCGCGCGCGGGGAGGGGGTGTTCGTTGAGGAGTCAGAAAGCCACGGGGGCTCAGGCTTTGGTCGCCATCTGGGCCGGCGAACTCCGCATTGGCTTGGAGCCGTTTTCAGGGCCCTCTCAGCAATCGCCACCGCCTCTTGTCAGGCTCACCCTCGAGAAGGGAGAGAGAAATGGGCAGCTGCCGTGGAGTCCGGAGAGAAAATGCGAGCCACTGCCCTCTTTATGGACTTGTAAAATAGGGGCCGGGTGACTGTAACAGCCAGCCTAAAACTACCTTTCTTCCACTAGTGGTTATCTTTTCCTTTTCAAACACAAATGGCACTCCTGGTGGGTAATGAGTGTGTTTTAAATCTGTGATAATAGGCTTTACAGGCCTGCCTAAGACCATAAAAGGCTCCCGTGAGGACTTAGGCTCAGTTGTAAACTGTATTTTGCATGGGTTTGCTTGTTTTAGAGGCTGCAGAGAGAACAGCGGAGAGGAAGTTGGCCTCATATTCCTCCTTCACCCCATTTCTTTGGCTGAGAACATCTCAACCCATGTTCCTAGCTCAGAAGGACAGAAAATAATTGTATATGGTCCCTATTCACCTGTTTTGCTGACAGAATGTTGGGGAAGTATTATGGGTTTCAAATATGTATCCTGCAGGCGTATTTATTTGACAAAGTGGGTGACAAGAAGTACAATAAGTACACAATAAGCTTTTTAAAAGCAGTGGTTGGTTTTGGAGTTGGGGAACAAATAATGAGGGAGAACACTTACTTTCTCGGCACTGGATTTCCTAGTGCACTGAGTATAAAGTTGGTTGAGTGCAAATGTTTTTCCCATTTTTAATATAGGATCTCACTAGATTTCTAAAGAGCTATCTTATGCTAGCTATATACAGTACATGTATGTATAGCTTTGAGTCATAGTCATTGTAAATTATCATTTACCCATTTATGGATGATGATGAGTAAAACTAGGCAACTGGGTATGTGAATCTTTCTAAAGTTTATGAGACTGTGAGTTTTTTGTGGGTTTTCCCCCCAAACTGTTGCTTTACCACAGATTATACAAACTAGCATTCATCAGTTAGGTGAACTACCCTGTTTTCCTGAAAATAAGCCCTAACCTGAAAATAAGCCTTAGTATGATTTTTCAGGATGCTCAAAAATAAGCCCCAGTTAAGTGAAACCCTACCCTCCACCATTGTGCAGCAACCAGAAGATGATGAAATGACTATATTGAATAAACGTAGATGGTTGTACCTGAAAAAAATAAAACATCCCCTGAAAATAAGCCCTAATGCATTTTTTGGAGCAAAAATTAATATACGACCCTGTCTTATTTTCCGGGAAACACAGTTAATGTTATCCCTGTCTTATTTTCCGGGAAACACAGTAGCAAAAATATGTTACGGGTCATTAACTTTCTTAGGCTGGCTTTCAAGGCAGAATGAGTTTTGGAATTCATTACCATCAAATGTAGGAATAGCCACTGGTTTGATAGTTTTCAAAGAGAAGCATTAGATAACTTAATGAGAAAGTAATACTGGATTTCATGGATACATAGATCATTCACTGGCAAAGACAGTATGGTACTGAATATACAGGGGGCAAAGAGACAAAAATTAACTATTTCCTAAGCTTCCATTGGTTTCTCATTGTTCGCTGTTAGATGCATAATACTGGGCTGGAAAGTCTTTGACCTAACTTAATAAGACGGATCCTGTCTGGACAATTCAGACAGAGCATGGACAGTGTTTCTACTCCAGTCTTCTGAAGATGCCGACCACAGAGACTGGCAAAACGTCTGGAAGAACAACCTTCAGAACACGGCCAAAGAGCCCGAAAAACCCACAACAACCATTATATCAGAAGTCAAATTTCATTTTATTTGGAAGTACATTCTTCTGATTTAAAGAAAACATGTTTCCATATAATGTCAGTGTAGTATTTTAGCCTAAAACCATGGTCTTAAACATATGAGCTGAAAACTTGTTACTTGACATAGTAAGATGCAACTAGAGTCAACCCATTGAATCAATGGAATTTATGAAGGAGTAGACTCACCAAATTGGCACTAATCCAGTGTGCCTACTTTAGTTGCAGTTTACTATGCTAAGCAACATTATTTCAGCCATAGTGTAGATGCAAGAGGAGGAGGAGGCTGTCAAGTCAATTCTAACTTATGGCAGCCCTTTTCAGCGTTTTCTAGGTAGCGAGTACTCAGAAGTGGTTTACTGTGCCTGCCTTCTGGGGGCATCCTGGGACTGTGCAGCTTGCCTAAAGCCACACAGGTCCTGCTGAAGTTTAGAATCCTGCTGCTAGTTGGTTCATGGATTAAAGTGTAAATCAAGATGGTCCTACTGCAATTTTCCATTCTTGGCCATACATACTGAAAATCAAACTGGATGAGTATATTTGGCATTGAATAAGTTTCTTAATGACTGCTGAGTTATATCAAAGCTTTGTCTATCCACAGATTTCTTGAAGTTAGGAGAGCAAAGTAAGGTTATAGTCTATGCTATTGTCAATGGGGATAAGCAGCATTTAACAGAGAAGGATTTGCTTAGGAATGACTTACGTATAAGCGTTTATTGTTCCACTCCACAGGCATTTCCCATACTCATATGTTACCTGCTTTCTTTGACCAATAGCTGTAATCTGCTGTGGTGGCAGAAAGGAAACAAATTAAAAGGCAACAGCCTTTGGATCAGCCTGTCTCCTGTATGCATATTTAGTCCAATTTAATAATGGTATTGTCTACACTTGCCTGTTGAGGACAGAGAATCAAGTATTCAAATAGGTTTTACTGAAGGTTACAAATTATAATTATAAGTACTTAAAATTATGTGTTGTGGGAACTGCTGAAACAAATCTATGGGATGGCAATTGCTCAGAGTTTGCATTTGTATCAGAGCAGTGCTGTTAGCAAGTTCAGTGCAGAAGAGCAGATGTTTGAATAATTGCTTGTCTGAGTACATGGGCAGGCTTACTATGTGTTTGTGCTTATCTGTTGCTATGTCATTGTAGGTGCGTGTGCCAGATTCCACCTAGGGGCACCAAATACAGCACTTGTGTTAAGTTTGCAGTAGGTAGCATTTACAGTTAATCCTTCTCGCATCTTAAAACATAGCAATAATCTAGTTATATCATCTATAAGGAGGAGGAGGGTTGTAGCTTGCTGTAGTCAAAAAGGGTTTGCTTTGTTTTCTTTCTAAAGATGTGCAAGCTCAGCATAGTTTTTTGAGTCATTCAACCCTTTGCTACTTTTGCTTTCATCTTATAGTGAGTGCACAGTGATTTGGATTATATGTGGTCATTTGATATCTAGAGAATGGACAGTTACGTGCATGATAGTGTCCTGGGACGGAAAAAAGTGCATTTATACATATATGTATGATCCTATTAAATTATCTTTACAGAACTAATGTATATATTTATGCCACATCCAAAAAATGTTCACATACAGCTTTTAACAAGCTTCACTCACAGCTTCACTCATTTGATTCCCAGAGTGTTCATGTGGCTAACAACTGTAAACACAACTGAGAATTAAGAAGATGTCCCCTATAAAATAATGGAGGTTTTTTTTGTTTGTTTACTATGAAGCATTCCATGGCAATGAAAATGTTTACCTTTCTTGTTCTCCTTCTTTGTCAGTTTAAGAAGTGAATGGTGTGTTATCCTCAAATATTGCTAGCCACTGTGAAGGGAAAGAGCAGACAAAATAATGGAGGTTGGTAGAGCCGTCTCTGGTTAAGACCTCCAAACAAACCCAGACTAGTCCACCGACTACCTTAAGCCGTAAAAGAGATCAAGGCTCAGATACCCATGATTTAGAGGAGGCAAATCTACAGGGGAAAGGGGTGTCAAAAGCGGTGGACACCCGAGAGCTGGAAGAGAGATGGAAAGGGTTAACAATAACTAATCCTTTTAAGGAAGAATTGGTGGGAAGGAAGGAGGTTCATGAGGTGGTGGAAGAAGGGGAGCTGGGAGAGATCAGGGCAGAACGTGACAACACCCCAGGAGGTTGGGAATGGATTTGGATGCAGGACCCGTGGACAGGAAAATGGGAACAAGTCCGGGTACCTAAAGCTGAAGTGGAGAATCGAAGGAAGAAAGGCTTGCCCCAAAAACCATCATATTGGGGTGAGTCCGAGACTCGTGAATGGAGGCGGAGAATCAGGGGAGAGAAAGAAGCCATTGCTAGAGAAAAAGAACCTTGTCGGGCATGGCATTTAGAAGAACTGAGGAAGATGGGGTGCTTCCTGGACCTTGGGGTGGCTCGCCAAGAGAGGGAGACCCGTCCTGGGGATAGATGGGAGACGAAGAGACTCTTCCTCTTCTAAGTCCAACTGACCATGGTTTGGGAACTGAGGGTCAGGGACACATTTGTGCCGGTCCATGGGACCAGGGTTTGGTAAACTTTACAGAAGAAAGCCTTTGGTTGCCCTTGCGAGAGCCATTACTTGAACAAGAGACTAGTTTATACAAAAATGTTATGGTTGAAACCCCGTTGGGTGAAGTAATAAATGACAACAAGTTATTTGACAAACCATCTGATGGTGTTTTATTAAAGAAAAGGGAAGCCCAACCAAACGACCCTTCACAGCCACCTAGAGTACATTGTTGAGTTGCAGTTCAAAAACACCTGAGTAACAAAGGCTAAGAACCACTGACCTAGAGTACATTGTTCATAGTTTCTCTTGAATAAAATTAGAACTTTAAAAGAGATAACATTTAAGTGATAGGTATGTGCAACTGTTAAGACTGAGTTTTT